ATAATAAAGAAGACGAATAAAGTTAAATTTATTTATACAAAACATTATCAGTCTATCACATGTAAACGGTAAATTGCAAGCCCACATGAGAGGCTCAATTCGACCAAAAAGACCCATATAGAGCCTAAGCTCTAGTCGAGCATATTTGCAAATTAAACAGACTTTTTGCCGAATCTGTTTGGGTGGTGGCGCAATAGATGGAATCACTGCCATGGCCTCTAAGAATAATATATAAGATTTTGACGGAGTCACCGAATGAACAAAAACATGAAAAGCTATCATTAAAAACTTGAAAAAACGAGAAGATATCCGACAAAAACCAAAAGCCAAAAAGACACGGTTCCGACAAATTGATACGTCAGACATCGACAAAAAAAAACGCAGATGTGTTGTTTAAGCTGAAACAACAGTATTGATTTATAACTAGTTCAATTTGTTATGATGTATCATCTCTTAAGAGTACAACAAAATTGATGTGTGAACCTATGGAAAGACTAATTTTTTACTGTATTGATTTTTAATATATGGTGTTTCAAGCATAAAGTGATGCTTTTATGCAAGAAAACTGAAACTCTTACTCCGATTGTTTCATGCCACTGATACTTGCTCCCGTTAACAGTGTTGAAACAAAAACAACAACAACAACAAAAACAACAACAAAAACAACACCACAACAATTCCACTCAGTCTCGTTTCAACAACAACATCAACCAGCAGTGTTTCTCCAAGCCGTATTTAGGTCGTTGCCATGCGTGTGGTACACAAGACCATAGCGCTAAGTATTGTCCAGAGTTTCGTACCGTAAAAAAATTCTTCTGCTTCACCTGTGTTATCTCAAGCTCAAAATTATTCCAATTGGCAGCCTTCTCCTCAGTATCAAACATGGAAACCAAGTGCAAATCATGCTATGATGTCCGATTCATCTACATGACTTGTGGATTCAGGAGCATCTCATCACATGACCTCCGACTTGGGCAATCTCTCCTTGCATAATCCCTACAGTGGAGGAGACGATGTACTCTTGGTGATGGTTTCGGGTTACAAATATCACACCCTGGTTCCCTCTCCTTACCATCTTATACCCATCTCTTTTTTCTTAATAATGTTTTATGTGTTCTGTCACTTGAAAAGAACTTAATTTCTGTCTTTCAATTATGTACGAGTAATGGTGTTGCTGTCACATTTACTCTCACATACTTTCAGGTGAGAGACCTACAAACGGGAGCCCTTCGTCTCGAGGGTAAACCTAAGGATGGCACTTATGGCCAAAAAAAACTTCATCCAAACCACATTCTCTTGCTTTTACTTCCTCCGTGATCGAAGACATCTTTGTCGGATTAGCATTTACGCTTAGGACATTCTGCTTTTCAAATTCTTCAAAAAGTAGTTTCTCAATTTCAGTTACCAATTACTTCAAATACTTTAATGGCTGAGCCATGTTCTTCTTGTTCAATTAATAACATGCACAAGTTGCCTTTTCAAAACCCGACTCTTCGCTCAACTCATCCTCTTGATATAGTACTTTCTGATGTGGACTTCACCAACTATTTCAATAGATGGTTTTAATATTATGTGATTTTTGTTAATCATTATACTAAATACACATGGTTGTGTCCCTAAAAAAAAAAATCTCACGTTTTTGATCTCTTCACCCCTTTTAAAGCTTTGGTTGAAAATCGATTTCAAACCAAGCTTCAAACACTATATACGGATAATGGGGGTGAATATTTTGGTTTGAGCGGTTTTCTTTCTACTCATGGGATATCTCACATGACAAGCCCACCACACATGCTCGATCATAATGGTATAGCCGAACGTCGTCATAGACATATAGTAGAAATGAGACTTTCCCTTCTATCTCATGTGGCTATACCAAAATCGTATTAGACTTATGTGTGTGCAACGGCTGTCTATTTAATTAATAGAATGCCCACACCGGTATAAGACTTTCAAATTCCTTTTAAAAAGCTTTATGGTCATTCACCAAATTTTGAAAATTTAAAGATTTTTGTTTGCTTATGCTTTCCATGGATTCGTCCCTATGCATCTCACACACTTGATGCTCTATTGACACCATGTGTCTTTCTAGGGTATTCCATTATACAAAGCATTGATTTTTGCTTAGATAGAGAATCTTCTCGGATATATACGTCCCAACATGTTCGTATTTCAAAAAAATGTTTGTCCCTTTTCAATTAAGTCGTCAATTCCTAAGGAGGATGATGACTATGTTTATGAAAACTTTTCTAGACCAGTTGTGAAAGTTTTACTGAGAGACTCTTCGCCACAGCCTCCGCTACCAGCTTCTCCGACATCAAACCCACCGACTCCTATATTTTCTCAAACAGTGTCTGATATGTTCATAAATTGCATCATATAGCTTGCATATTTCATTCCAAATCATGTCTTGTTTCATGCATTTTAGGTCTTTAAGCATTGTTTTAGGACTTAGGATTTGCATTAGGTCCCAATGAGTCTTTGAATGGTTTGGAGCCATAAACAGGTGCTTTTGAGGCTGTTCGGAGCAGAAGAGTTGAGACCAGGTGTTTAAATGGAGTTTGGAGGTTCAAAAATTGTGAAATCAAGATTTTGGAGTTTATCGGCTAAGGCATGTACCGGAAGAAGCATTTTATCGGCTAAAAATGTTGTCGGGTTGATTTTTCTTGGCCAAAATCGCTATCAGGTGAAGATCTATAGGCTAAACTCTTATGCCGAGAAGGATGAGTTTTTATCGGCTAAAACGCTTACCACAGGAAGTCATTATCAGCTATTATCCTTACTGCGGTACATAAGCTCTCGGCCAAAACCCGTTTATGCCGATGCGCACCAAAGATTGCCTGTCCGGGGAAGCTTCAAGTCCGATTCAGTTGTCGGGGTCTTCATCAAAGTTGGACACTTGTCTCGCTTCCAATCTAAGCCGATTCCAATGAGCCTCAGATATTACGTGGGACGATGTCTTTCCAGACCAATTAAGTCTCCGGGATCTTCATCAAGATTCAAGATATTTGAGTGCTTTTTCCAGAACGTCTGAGATCACCCGATTTGGAGCTATGAGATGAGAGATAATGTCTCCAGAGTGAACAAGGGTCCAGAAGCCTCTTTCTGATCGTTCCAATGCGCTGCAAAGATTGACCGTCCGGGAAATCTTCCATTCCTCGTATGCCAATGGTGTCCTTGTTGAAGAAAATAGTCTGAAAACAACTACGTGTTGAGCTGAGTATCTATGTGGTTTGGTATTGAAATCTGTCTAAGTGTGAAACTGGACCTCGGCCTCAACCCCTCAACATTGCACCTCGGACTCTTCCTACATGACCCCCTTGACCAAAGCCCCTCGGTGTGCCCACACCCAGGTGATCTCTTGCCAAAACAAAATGCTCAAAACCTCGAGCAAACTCCACGGCTTGTATACACCAAGGTGCATGTTTTACGAATGGAAGCAGCCAAAGCTCGACCTAACTCCACGGTGTGTCTACACCGAGGCCACCTTGTCACGAGCCCAGATCAAGAACAAGTTTCTCTAACGGTCACACGCGAAGATGGATCAAAGACTAGGGTTCATGCATGTTTTTGGTGAGTTCTTCATTTCAAACCAAGTTCACATGCACACCTCGGCTTCAATACCTCGGCTTTGGACTCTCACACACCGAGTGCTCACCCAACTGCCCAAGAAGACCGTTTCAGTACTCGTTTTGTTCCGGGCTGACCCGGGTCACTTAGCTTCATTATAAATAGTTTTAGGGACTAAAAACCCTACTTTATCCTTTATTCTTTTTGAGAACTTGCCTCTTTTGTGTAAAACTTGCTGCTTTATAAGAGATATCTCGTTTTGCATCATAAAAGTCTTGTTCTCATCATTTCTTTTCATCAAATCAAGCTTCTAATCATGCTTAACATCACTTCTTGCAAAAGATCAAATGTGTTAACTATGATTAGTGAGTAGTTCCCTTATAAGATCTTAGATAGGTAGATTAGGGTGCTGAAATGCTAGATTAGAGAGTTTAGGGGCTAGATCTTGCATCATCCATTCTCTAGAAACTGTTCTCTATGCTAGATCTTTGCACATCACTTGTGGTCTAGATCAAAGGTACTTCATGCACCAAAAGTGTTTGTTGAAATGCCTGAACCAAGTTTGTTAGAGGTTTAAGTGTCTTTCATCATGATAATGATAGTTTGATCACTTAAATGACTTATTGAACTGATTCTTAATGCTTGTTAATTCATGCTTCTCAAATGGGATTTTGGTATGAAAGAGGATTAGCACATAAGTTTAATGTCTTCATGAGAGGATTATCTTGCTTAATGAGTTTATGTTAAATGGATTTGCTTTGATTGTTTGTTCATTAGCTTTATAGTCTAGTGTTAAAGCACCCTAATTTAATATCCTGTCTAAGGCCTATGCATCATCATATCATATTCATATATAATCGCTTGTCTTGCTTTGTTTGTTTAGTTGCATCTTAATCTTGTTTAAATCCTGTTTCAGTTCATTTGCTTTTCTTGTTACTAGTTTAGAACCAAAATCTCACTTGTCTTGCTTTAATTAAGTACCTTTGCATATAAACTAGTGTCTAGAACCCACAAGATGGATTGATACCTTTGTATTACAAAGACAAGGGATTGATAACCCCATCTAAAGGCTTAAAAACCTTAGTTATCAATTGGCGCCGTTGCCAACATGTGGGGATTTAGCATTAGTTATTGTTTAGTTCTTGAGATCAAGCTCTTATTTTTTGTCTTACTGATCAGTTCTTAAGATTTGTCTTTGAGTGATCAGGTGTATGAGAACACGCTCCAGAAGTTCAGAGCCTCCTCTTCCTTACAACAACAACATAAAATTGCTTGAAAGGAGAGCTAGAGAAAGGGCTGCTCATCTGAAACAGTTGGGAATGGATAAACAAGCGCACAGGATTGAGCAACAGGCTCAAGAATCTGAGCATCAGGCTCACTTAAATCAGGCATAGACTCAGAGGAACGAGCAACAAGCTTTTGTCAATCAGAACATGGCGCAGAGGAATGGGCGCCAAGCACAGCAGAACCAACAACAAGCTAACCGCAATGAGCAACAGGCTCAAAACATTCCTCAGCCTCAGCCACATGCTCAAAGGCAACCTCCACAGGTCTTTGTTGGTGAGAATGATAGAGAAAATGCACACCAGCACCGAGCAGGAATTCAAGCACCACCGGTTCAGAATAATAACTTTGAAGTGAAAGCTTCCTTGCTCAATATGGTGCAGAACTCTAAGTTCCATAGGTTACCAATGGAGGATTCTTTGGAGCATTTGGATCAATTTGACAGGGTGTGTGATCTAACTAAGATCAATGGTGTATCAGAAGACAGTTTCAAGCTCAGGTTGTTCCCATTCAGCTTAGGAGACAAGGCATACCAATGGGGAAAGAATCTTCCAAGGGGAACAATACAAACTTGGGAGCAGTGCAAGCTTGCCTTCTTATCTAAGTTCTTCTCTACCTCAAGAACTGTCAAGCTGAGGAACCAGATCTCAAGCTTTACACAACACAATAACGAAAGCTTTGGAGAAGCTTGGGAACGGTTTAGAAGCTACACCAATCAGTGTCCTCATCATGTTTTTTCTGAGGCATCACTTCTGAGTACATTGTATAGAGGAGCACTTCCAAGATCAGAAACCAGTTAGACACAGCCTCCAATGAAAATGTTTTGGGTAAAGAGATCAATGCAGCATTGGAACTAGTGGAAAACTTGGCCATGAGTGATGACACTTATGGGGAAGACTTTGACAGGGCGAATAGAAGTGAGGGATCCAGCAAAGAGCTGAGGATGGAGAAGGACATTAGAGAGCTTCAGAAAAAGCTTGACAAAGTTCTAGTGGCAACACAAAAGCCATTACACTTTGTAGGCGAGTTTGATGATCAAGGTCCAAGCTTTGAAAATGTCAATGAAGATGGCCTCACTCAAGAAGAGATCAACTACATTGGGAATCAGAATAGGTATCAGAGGTTCAACAACTTCAACTCAAATCAGAACCTCTCTTACAGAAACCCCAATGTAGCTAACCCTCAAGATCAAGTTTATCCTCAACTACAAGATCAGCAGAATTTTGTTCCCAAAAACAACTATCAAGGGAACTTTAAACCTAAGCAACAGTTTGTTAGCAACAGACCTATGGACAGCAACAGCAACCGATTCAGAGTAACAACTTCACTAGTCAGCCTCAGCAACCGAAGTATCTGCCGGGTTTCAGTCAGCAGCCGTTGGTTCATCATCAGTTGGGTCAGCAGACGCCAGTTCAAGGTCAACAAATGGGGCCTGAGTTGTGTGGAGTGTTGCAACAGCTTCTACATGATCAGAAGCGGGTTGAGTGTGGTTTTTCAGAATTGGGGGTTCAAAGTATGCTGCAATGCAACAAGAGATCAAGGATTTAAGGAAGAATCAAGCCCCCACCTCAAGAAAACAAGGCACTTTACCTGGTAAACCTGAGCCTAATCCCAAAGAGTATTGCAATGCTATAACTCTTAGAAGTGGAAAAGAGTTACCAGAGAGAGAGCCTAGACAAGTGCTCATTGAGGACAATGAGCAAGTTAGTGGGGAGGCAGCTCAAAAGAGTGAGAAAGAAAAGGAGATTACCAAGGGTAATGTGACCAAAGAGGTGGAACAAGAGATGGTGCCTGAGAAACCCTATGTTCCACCACCACCTTATCAGCCTAAACTTCCATTTCCAGGGAGGTTTAAGAAGCAGATCCCAGATAAGGCAAGAGCAATCTTTGAGAAGCACCTAGAGAACATTAAGATGACTATGCCCATCATTGAGGCATTTCTTATGGTTCCACAGCCTGGGAAGTTCTTAAAAGATGCCATTTTGAACAAGACCAAGAAGTTACAAGGAATGGTTATTCTGAGTCATGAGTGTAGTGCTATTATTCAAAGGAAGACTATCCCTAGGAAGCTATCAGATCCAGGGAGCTTTACACTACCATGCACCATAGGTCCTTTGAAGTTTGATAGCTGTTTGTGTAATTTGGGAGATTCTGTAAGCTTGATGCCTTATTCTATTGCAAAGAGGCTGGGATACAACAGTTACAAGCCAGCAAGGATCTCTCTACTGCTCGCTGATAGGTCAGTAAGGCTACCTATTGGATTACTTGAAGATTTTCCTCTTAAAGTTAGTGAGATTGAGATACCAACCGATTTTATTGTCTTCGAGATGGATGAGGAACCTGTTGATCCTCTCATCTTAGGAAGGCCTTTCTTAGCTACAGCTGGTGCAATATTTGATGTTAGAGGTGGAATGATTGAGCTTCACATTGGATCAGAGACCATGAAGTTTGATGTAAAAGAAATGATGAAGAAGCCAACACTTGGTGGACAAATCTTTTACATTGAAACAATGGAGGAGCTAGCTGATGAGCTTCTTGAGGAATTGAACACAGAGGATCCTCTCCAAGTTGTCTTGAAAAAGGAACAAGGTGAACATGGGTATTTGGCTGAAGAGAGTGAAGCCTACAAGCTGTTTTTGGATCAGCCCAAAGAACTTGATTCAGAAACAAGGTTTTTGGAGCTAGGAGCAAACGACCTTGAGGTTCTAGATATCAGAGGTTCAAATACAAGTCAGGGACCAGCTCAGGGATGCATGGCCGTGGGTTCACAAGCTGAGGAGAAGGCTGAGCCGTGTGAGCAGATCAACACCAAGGGGGCTGCAACCGAGCATGACAGCTTCAATGCGGATTGGGATGAGTCCAAAGCGCCCCCTGTTGAGCTCAAGCCTCTACCAACAGGACTCAGGCCTCTACCAACAAGGCCCTGTCATCATAAATAATTGCTAGCTCATGAGGAAAGTGCATTGTTGAATGAGTTAAGGAAATTTAGGAGAGCAATAGGTTATTCCCTTGCTGATATAAGAGGAATCTCTCCTAATGTCTGTACCCACAGAATACACCTAAAGGACCAATCCATGTCCTCTATTGAGCACCAAAGGCGCCTTAACACCAATCTAAAGGAGGTGGTTAAGAAGGAGATACTCAAACTTCTTGAGGCAGGAATCATTTACCCAATTTCTGACTTAAGATGGGTATCTCCTGTCCATGTGGTGGTATTACCGTGGTGAAAAATGATAGGGATGAACTCATTGCAACTAGAACTGTAACTTGTCAGCCTATAGGAAGTTAAATGCAGCCTCAAGAAAGGATCACTTTCCTTTGCCTTTTATTGATCAGATGTTAGATAGACTAGCTAATCATCCCTATTTTTGTTTTCTTAATGGGTACTCTGGGTTCTTTCAGATTCTAATAGACCCCAGAGATCAAGAGAAAAGGACATTTACTTGTCCTTACGACACATATGCATATAGGAGAATGCCGTTTGGTTTATGCAATGCTCCTACTACCTTCCAAAGGTGTATGATGCACATATTCTATGATCTGATTGAAGAAAATGTAGAGGTATTCATGGATGATTTTTCAGTCTATGGATCCTCTTTCTCGGTTTGTTTGTCTAATCTTTCTCAAGTTCTCAAGAGATGTGAGGAGACAAACTTGGTGCTAAACTGGGAGAAATGCCATTTTATGGTGCAAGAGGGTATTGTGCTTGGGCACAAGGTTTCTAAGGCAGGCACTGAGGTTGATAAAGCCAAGGTGGAAGTGATGGTTAACCTAGAAGCTCTAAACTCGGTCAAGGGGATCAGAAGCTTCTTAGGGTACGCCGGCTTTTATAGAAGATTCATCACAGATTTTTCTAAAATAGCTAGGCCATTGACAAGGTTGCTGTGCAAAGAAGTTGAGTTTGTGTTTGATGAGGAGTGCATGGAAGCTATTCCATGCAAAGAAGTTGCTGTGCCATTGACAAGGTTGCTGTGCAAAAGAAGTTGAATTTGTGTTTGATGAGGAGTGCATGGAAGCTATTCAAAAGATCAAACAAGCTCTTGTGAGTGCACCAATAGTCCAAGCTCCAGATTGGACTCTGTCCTTTGAAGTGATGACCGATGCATCAGATTATGCTGTGGAAGCTGTTTTGGGACAAAAAAGGATAAGAAGCTGCATGTCATATACTATGCAAGCAAGACTTTGGATTCAGCTCAAGAGAAGTATGCTACAACTGAAAAAGAGATGCTTGCTATAGTATTCGCCTTTGACAAGTTCATAAGCTATTTGGTTGGTTCAAAAGTTGTGGTCTACACAGATCATGCAGCTCTTAGATACTTGATGACAAAGAAAGATGTCAAGCCAAGGCTTTTGAGATGGGTTCTTCTCTTACAAGAGTTTGACATGAAGATTCAAGACAAGCCAGGAATAGAAAATGGAGCAGATGATCACCTTTCAAGGCTGAGAGTGGATTCTGATATCCCTCTAGATGATGCATTACCTGAAGAGCATCTCATGGTGATTAATTCTTATTTGGAGTTTGAGCAAGAGAATACCATCAGAGAAAGGAGCTTACCTTGGTTTGCTGACATTGTTAACTATCTCTCTTATGGTATGGAGCCACCAGAAATGGATGCTTACCAAAGAAAGAGATTCTTCAAGGAGGTGCAAAGGTATCATTGGGATGAGCCATACTTGTATGTGCTCAACAAAGATCATTTGTACAAAAAGTGTCTAGCTGAAGAGGAGGTCCAGCCGGTTCTTCAAGAGTGCCACGGTTCAGCATATGGAGGGCATCTAGGAGCTTTCAAGACAGTTGCTAAAGTGTTGCAATCAGGGTTTTGGTGGCCTACAATGTTCAAAGATGCCCAAGGTGTGGTCTCAAGTTGTGAATCTTGCCAAAGACATGGAAACATCTAAAAAAGGAATGAAATGCCTCAGAATCCCATCTTTGAAGTTGAGGTTTTTGATTGTTGGGGCATAGATTTCATGGGGCCATTCATCTCTTCTCATGGGAATCAGTATATCTTGGTAGCTGTTGATTATGTTTCCAAGTGTGTAAAGGCCATTGCTAGTCCAACAAATGATTCAAAGGTGGTGTGCAAGCTGTTCAAGAGCATTATCTTCCCTATGTTTGGTGTTCCAATGGATGTTATAAGTGATGCTGGTAGTCATTTCAAAAACAAGACCTTGGAGGGGCTGCTTAGGAAGCATGGAGTTAAGCATAAAGTTGCTAGCCCTTACCACCCTCAAACAAGCAGGCAAGTTGAGGTATCTAATAGGCAGATCAAAGCGATCTTGGAGAGAACTGTTAGCTCCTGAAGAAAGGTGATCTGCTCAAAGTTTAATCCCTAGAGCTACTCTGCAAGAGCACATATGTGCAATTGTAGTATGTAGAGGTCGAACCACAGAGACGAGAGATTCGCTCAATAAACCTATTAGGAATTGAATTACGCTAAGCAAATTAATGAGAAGCAAATAGCGATGCAAATAAAGATAAACGAATGCAGTAAAAACGTTTGTAAAGTTCAGATGTGTGGAGATTAGGTCTAGGGCGTTTTTCAGGAAATCAATGAATGCAGATCAATCGATTAATCAGGGTTCAGATTTAAGCACGGTTCTTGAACTCGAATCACATAATTATAATTAACCAACTTCCGTTGTGAGAATTATCTAAGTTAAATCCTAGAATTCCAAATTCCTTTGCAAACCCTAAAGATTTAAACCAGCTTTAATGCTCAAGTTCGATATGTTCACAAAGTATCTAAACCAAATTCCTTTGCGAATAGCTACTTTGCTCACCCTAGGTTCTTTCCAGTTATTCAATTACACTTCCGTGTCAATCAATTAACCTAAGATCTAAGTTTTAGGTGGCCAGTCCAGAATTAGCTTTAAGAACAACCTATGGTGAAGAACTAAATAGATTATGAACCCTAACTAAATCAATTAATCAAACATCCAATGAAATCCTTTATGAGAACCCTAAACCTAACAAGCAAACTACTCAGTCATGAAGATTGAAGCAATAAACATGAATGAATAGATTGCAGTAAGCAGTAAATAGATTAATAAACAGGGGTTCGAAATCTTCTCTCTCCGGAACAGAGTTTCAGACTTGTCTCCCCAAAAGCTCTCAAAAACAAAAGTCCTCTCTAAGAAAAGCTCAGGTATCAATATAAGGTGGCTAAAAACCCTATTAATAACTTAAAAACACGTTTTGGGCTTCCTTGTAATTATTGGAGACTTTTGGGCCCAACTCCTTCTTCAAACAGGAAACAAAATCACGTTTTCCTTATTTCTGCAACAAGTGTCAAGCGTCACTCTCCATGGTGTCGAGCGACACTAAAGCACAAAATCCATACTTGACGAATTTGATCCTGATTAAGCTCCAAAGTGCTCCAAAGTCTCCAGTTAAGTTCCAAACGTACCTATGACCTGAAAAGACTCCAAAAGACTCGAAAGACCCTAAAAAAGACTCTATAAATAAGACTTATACCATGGTTAAAAACCATAAAAACCATGATATATCAACTCCCCCAGACTTAGCATTTGCTTGCCCTCAAGCAAACAGAATACCAAAAAAGAGAAAGAGGTTTGAAAACACAGAGACTCAACCTTTCATTGGAACATCGCTTTTGACCAATCACCCTGCAACTCAACTACTGCTTCATCACTCCAAATCGAACCACCATGTACTTCTCCGCAGACATTCACAGCTTCCCAGATTAAGTCCAAAATTTCACAACATTGTTCATAAACCCTCATCGCTGGATCTCACTGATGATTCCAATGCCCAGAACCTTCTAGATTCTTTCCCGTACTATACTCAAACAAATCAGCCATACAAACTTTGGTATTTTTCTTTCCCCCAGACTTATTCTTTTCGCACATTCATCATCTTTTCCTCTTTTTTTTTTTTTTTTTCTTATGGCATATACTCGATAAGAGTAAAGCTGCGAGTACTGATGGTGTTTGCCATCGAGTCCCCGAGTTGTCCCCTTACTTTGTATCAAAGGTTAGGTTTTCAGCGAATAGTGGGGTCATAGGAAACTTTCCTACCCCTCACTTCCTTCCTTTGTGTGATCATTCCAACTTAGAAGTGAAATAATGGGATAATTGGAAACATTTCTAGCCCTTCACTCCTAAACGAAAATCATCTCAATCTTTTCGCCTTTTTTTTTTCTTAGCTCGTCACAAGGGAGAGAAATACCAACAATAAATTTCACACAGGCTTTCATTGATCAAGTACGAACGAGGAATCAAGCTCTAAGGCATTAGTCACATCAACGAGTTAAAAGTGAAGTTCAGAACTTAGCTTAGGTTAGTGGATTCTGTTGGAAACATGGACGTCTCTAGTCAACTGGTCAGCCTTTGGATTTTTCATTAGTCGGATCTAGACTGAATCTGTAGCAGTGGTCACTTAGAGGAAATGTCAGCACAATAGTTCCAGGAAAAGCATCATAATCTCCAACAAGTTTTGACTCAAAAATTTTTTGACACGACTGACTCTAAGAAAAACAAACACAATGTCAGCAACTACCTCCCCCAGACTTAAACAACACTGTCCCCAGTGTTATCTAGTCCGAAGTTGGTGAAACAAAAGAAAGGAAACAGAGAAACGCAGGAAAAACAGAGAATTTACTTGGCCGCAATGATGGTGTCGAGCGACACCGATGATGGTGTCGTGCGACACTTGTTCTCTTCGTACCGAATTGCAGCAGATTCATCCGAATTTCTGGTTTGACTCCGGTTATCTGATTTCCTAATTTTTTTTTTTTTCACAGAAGCAAATGACAAGCGACATCGAAAGTGGTGTCGCTCGACACCAGCCTCTGTTTCACCTGAGACACACAAAAAAAAAAGAAAAACGAAAATCAACTGAAACAAAAAGACTTATGAACAGACTCACCAGTGGATTGCCTTCCACCAAGCGCTTGTTTTAAGTCATTAGCTTGACTATGGATAGACTATACATCTGGTGGATCAGACAGTGGCAAAGAGTGCCTCTGTGAAATTCGTCTCATCCATGGTGGTGTGTAAGCGTTGTGCGCCATGAGGTCGTACAAGGAATACAGGAATAGCACCAGGGTGGGATCTGTGTTTGTGTAGCCTTGACCTTTGATTTGGTGGAGATGAATAGAGTGAGATGTTTTGAACTCCCTGATCAACAGCAGTCACTGGTTCTGTAGACGTTTTCTTCAACTCAGGTTGATCTCTCACCTTCTCAGCATCAAACTCGTTCTGATCTCCAACTATCACTTCAGGTATTGCACTGACTTGGAATGTCTGACCATCTATGGTTGAATCCTTCAGCCTCTCCATCTTGAAAGTCATGATGGTATCTCCCAAGTGGAGATCAAGGTTACCATGCTTGACATCAATTACCGCTCCATCTGTAGCTAAAAACGATCTTCCCAGGATAAGAGGATCTTTGGGTTCCTCTCCATATTCCAGAACCACAAAATCTGTAGGAATTATGCAATCACCAACTTTAATCGGAACATCCTCCAAGACACCTTTTGGGATTCTTTTAGATCGATCTGCTAGGATCAAAGAGATCTTAGTTGGCTTGAAGTCAGTCATCCCAAGGCTAACAGCTACAGAGTATGGCATTAGGTTGACACTCGAACCAAGATCACACAGCAATCTCTTGAACCTCTCAGAGAAGATAGAGCAATCCAACAGCTACAGAGTATGGCATTAGGTTGACACTCGAACCAAGATCACACAGCGATCTCTTGAACCTCTCAGAGAAGATAGAGCAATCCAAAACAAAGCTTCCTGGGTCCGAGAGTTTCTCTGGAATCTTATTCTGAATCACAGCACTGACCTGTTCAGAGATCATCATCACTACTTCCTCATGACTCAGATTATTAGTCACCATCTTCTTCACATAGTGTCTGAGAGTAGGAGCAATCTTCACAGCATCAACCAAAGGAATCTCAGTCACAAGCTTCTCCATCAAAGCCTTGCATCTGGCATCGTCTAGCTCCTGCTTGGACTTCCTAGGACTCCTTGGGTAAGGAACCTTAGGTTTGTAAACCTTTTCCTCAGCAGATTTCGAACTTTGAGCAATATCAGCTTTGCTCTGCAATTGGTGACGCGCGACACTGGTTGTGGTGTCGCTCGACACCGGCTCTGCAACTTCAAAATTTTCTTCAGACTCGTCCAACTCCACGATTTCATCCTCATAAACACCCTTTTTAAGCACATGAGTCAACTTTTTACCACTCCTTGACGAGATGGCACTGCAGTAATGCCTAGGATTGGTGTCAGTCTTCCTAGGAAGGGATCCTTCTTGCCTTTTTACAGACTCTGCAGTTTGAGCAACCTGAGTATCAAGCTTCTTGACATGAGTGTTCAAAACTTCAATTTTTCCATTCAGATCCAGATACAGAGCATCAATCTTCCCATTGAAATCCACAGTCATCTTCTGCTGACCTTCCAAGATCTGTTCCAGCATAGACTTCACCTCATTATCTGGAGTTTGAGTAGGAGGAGAACCATAGTTCCTTGAAAACCTGTTGTTGGAGTAGGATGTCTGGTACTGAGGTTTGGAGCTGTAACCAGAAGAGTTCTGATTACCTGTGAAGGTACTCCTCTGATTACTTCCATTGTAATTCGTGTTCCCTTTCCCAGAACCAAATCTCTGACCCTGAAATCCAACTCCATTGATGAAGTTAACATCCTCTTCCTCAAAAGCTTCATCTGGTCCGAAATTCTAAACTCCTGCAGGGTATCTGACAGTTTTCTTAACCACAAGAAGACTATGCACAAAGTCAAGCTTAGCCTTCACCTGAGCAATTTGCGATCCATCCATGTTCCCACCCTGTTTCTTTCGCTGATAGTCTGCATTCTTGGTACTATTGCTAGATGCCAAGTTCTCAATAAGCACAACAGCATCTTCAGGGTATCTGGTGTTGAAGTTCCCATTGCTTGCAGCATCAAGAGCCATCTGATATCTCCAATCAACACCTCTGAAGAAAGTACCTAGCAGCTGAACATCACTGAAACCATGATGTGGACAATCTCTCTGATATGACTTGAATCTCACCCAAGCAGCCTTGAATGCTTCAGTTGGTCCCTGAGAAAACGTTGAGATTTTGAGTCTCAACTCTTCAGACCTGGCATCGTCATAGAAGTTGTGCAGGAAGGCGTTCCTGGTCTCTTCCCACTTAGTCAGTGATCCAGGCTCCAACTGCTTCAGCCAATTAGCTGCTTCTCCAGCAAGAGAATAAGGAAACAGCTTGCAGAAGAGGTAGTCATTGGACACTCCATTGTATTTGATGCTGGTGACCAAGTCCTCAAACCTCTCGATATGATCCATCGGGTGTTCATGAGAAAGACCATGGAAAGGATGCTGACCCACAAGAGTGTAATACACATGCTTGAGCTCAAAATCGTTCCTCTGAAACGCAGGAGCGTGAATCGCGGATCGATTTGCATAGAATTGCTCAGGCCTGTTGTAGTCACCCAGCGTCTTGATGATGTTACCCTCTCCATCAAGTCACTGGCCTCTCTCATTACACACATGACCATCTTGGTCTCTCCAGACTCCAACATCATCACGAACCAATGCCAATGCGTTCTCCATCTCTGCTGGTTTCTGAGACAAAGAGAAAGAACAATGTAAGTAACAAAGTAAAAATAAAATTAAGAAAAACGACGGGTGTCGCGCGACACCACTAGTGGTGTCGCTCGACACTAAGAAAAACTTAGTCGAAACTCAAGAACTAAAGTTTAATGGCGAAAATCAAGTCCCCGGCAACGGCGCCAAAACTTGATCTGCTCAAAGTTTAATCCCTAGAGCTACTCTGCAAGAGCACAGATGTGCAATTGTAGTATGTAGGGGTCGAACCACAGAGACGAGAGATTCGCTCAATAAACCTATTAGGAATTGAATTACGCTAAGCAGATTAATGAGAAGCAAATAGCGATGCAAATAAAGATAAACGAATGTAGTAAAAAAGTTTGTAAAGTTCAGATGTGTGGAGATTAGGTCTAGGGCGTTTTTCGGGAAATCAATGAATGCAGATCAATCGATTAATCAGCGTTCAGATTTAAGCACGGTTCTTGAACTCGAATCACAGAATTATAATTAACCAACTTCCGTTGTGAGAATTATCTAAGTTAAAATCCTAGAATTCCAAATTCCTTTGCAAACCCTAAAGATTTAAACCAGCTTTAATGCTCAAGTTCGATATGTTCACAAAGTATCTAAACTAAATTCCTTTGCGAATAGCTACTTTGCTCACCCTAGGTTCTTTCCAGTTATTCAATTACATTTCCGTGTCAATCAATTAACCTAAGATCTAAGTTCTAGGTGGCCAGTCCAGAATTAGCTTTAAGAACAACATATGGTGAAGAACTAAATAGATTATGAACCCTAACTAAATCAATTAATCAAACACCCAATGAAATCCTTTATGAGAACCCTAAACCTAACAAGCAAACTACTCAGTCATGAAGATTGAAGCAATAAACATGAATGAATAGATTGCAGTAAGCAGTAAATAGATTAATAAACAGGGGTTCGAAATCTTCTCTCTCCGGAACAGAGTTTCAGACTTGTCTCCCCAAAAGCTCTCAAAAACAAAAGTCCTCTCTAAGAAAAGCTCAGGTATCAATATAAGGTGGCTAAAAACCCTATTAATAACTTAAAAACACGTTTTGGGCTTCCTTGTAATTATTGGAGACTTTTGGGCCCAACTCCTTCTTCAAACAGGAAACAAAATCACGTTTTCCTTATTTCTGCAACAAGTGTCGAGCGTCACTCTCCATGGTGTCGAGCGACACTAAAGTACAAAATCCATACTTGACGAATTTGATCCTGATTAAGCTCCAAAGTGCTCCAAAGTCTCTAGTTAAGTTCCAAACGTACCTATGACCTGAAAAGACTCCAAAAGACTCGAAAGACACTAAAAGGACTCTATAAATAAGACTTATACCATGGTTAAAAACCATAAAAACCATGATATATCAAAAGGATTGGAGCAAGAAGCTTGATGATGCACTTTGGGCATATAGAACAGCTTTCAAAACCCCCATAGGTACCTCGCCTTTCAATCTGTTGTATGGGAAGAGCTGTCACTTGCCGGTTGAGTTGGAATACAAGGCCTTGTGGGCTGTTAAGATGTTGAATTTTGACATCAAGACCGCCCAGGAGAAAAGAGTTTTGCAACTCCATGAGTTGGAGGAGATCAGGCTTGACGCTTTTGAGAGTTCAAAGATTTACAAAAAGAGGACCAAAGCTCTCCATGATCAGAAAATTCACAACAGGGAGTTCAAAGCTGGAGATCTTGTGCTCTTGTTCAACTCTAGACTTAAGCTTTTTCCTGGAAAGCTAAAGACTATATGGTCAGGACCATTCAAGATACTTGAGGTGAGAGCTTATGGTGCCATTGTGCTTGAAGGAAAAGATGGGCAAGGTTTGTCAATGGACAGAGGGTCAAGCACTACTTGGTATCTGAAAAGAAAGAGGGAGCTTCATCAGTTCCTCTTCTTGATCTACAATCCGCTTAAGAAGGTATGAAAAGTCAAACTTAGTGATATTAAACAAAGTGCTCTTGGGAGACACCCCAAGATTATCCTTGTAAATACTTTTCTTTTGATCTTTCTTTTTATGTTTATTTTGAATGTTTTGAAGGTTTTGTTAAGTGATCTCAGGTTCAGAAAGTGCTCTAGCTGTGTAAATGATAACTAAGACTTTTTAGGTCTTAAAGAGGTATCAATCCCCTTTAGTTGTAGTACAAGGGGTATCAAATCCAAGCTTGTAGTCACTAGTTTATGATGCTCAAATCTTAAGTCAAGTGCAATCAAGGAAGATTTTTGGCTTATCTAAACTACTAAAAGCAAGCAAATGAAAAAAGATAAGAGATTTAAGCTAAACAAAGATGCAAATAAGAAGACAAATAACAAAATTACTAAGCAGATGATGTATGAATGATGGAGCTGAGGTTTTAGACAGGATAAAGGACTCGAGTGCTTTCCACACTAAACTAGCGAGTTAATGAAACAAATGATCAGGAAACTTCATTTAACATGAACTTAAAGACAAGTTAATCCTCTCATGAAGGTATTAAGCTTCTATGCTAATCCTCTTTCATACCAAAATCTCTTTTGAGAAGCATGAATCAGTAAGCATTAAGCATCAGTTCAATAAGTCATTTAAGAGAATCAAACTATCATTATCATGATGAAAGACTCTTAAACCTCTAACAAACTGGTTCAGACCTTTCTACAAACACTTTTGATGCGAGAACATGTCTTAGATCTGGACCGCATGTGATGTGCATGGATCCAGCTTAGAGATCTGTTCTATTAGAGAATGAAGTATGCATATCTAACCTAAACTCGCTAATCTAGTGTTTGAGCACCCTAATCTACCTATCTAAAACCTCATAAATGGACTACTCACTAATCATGAAGAGCACACTTAATCCTTTTCAAGATGTGATGCTAGACATGATTAGAAGCTTTGATGATGAAAAGAAAATAAAAGAGAACAAGATCTTCACATAAAAACGAGATATCTGATTAAAGAAGCAAGTTTTCACAAAAGAGGCACGTTCTCAAAGATAAAACAGGATAAGAGATAAGATAAGTAGGGTTTTAGTCCTAAAAACTATATATAGTGAAGCTAAGTGATGCGGGTCAGCCCGGAATACAAATCGGGTACTGAACCGGCTTTCTTGAGTCGTTGGGTGAGCACCTCGGTGTGTGAGAGAGTGAAGCCGAGGGGCTGATGTCAAGGGGCTCGGTGTTGCTGAGTTGAAATGAAGGATCCACCAAGAACTTGCCAAGAACTCACCAAGATCATGCATGAACCCTAGCCTTTGATTTATCTTCACATGCACTCGTTAGATCAGCTTTGTTTTCGATCTGGGTTCATGACAAGGGACCTCGGCATAGATATGTCTAGGGGCTTGGTAACCGAGGGTTCACGGGGGAGAGAGTCCGACGTGCAATGCCGAGGTCTTGAAGCCGAGGTGTAGTTGCAACACTTAGTCATTTTCAGCTTCGTTTCTTCGGCAGGTGTGCCTCGGTCTTGATGCACCGAGGGGTTAGCACGAGGTCTTAGACCAAAAAGCTTCAGGGGAGAGGCCTCGGTATAGAAAATGTCGAGGGAACGACACTGAGGCTTGTTTAAACACTTAGCACCAATCGCAACCCTTTAAACTTGTATCGACCCGCTTGTCTCCTGATTGCAATAACTTTCAGCACATGACCCCAAACGGCTTGAAACCAACTCCATGAGGAAGATCACTCAATTAGCTCAAAATGTGATGAAGAAAACATCGAAGCTTGGGAAGTGGAAGGCTCTCCGGATTGCTCATCTTTGCATCGCATCGGAATGGTGAGAAAAAAACTTCTCGACCCATGTTTACTCCGGAGACGGTATCTCTCAGGCCACAGCTCCAAATTGGATGATCTCAGGTTTTCTGGAAATAGAACTCAGATATCTCAAATGTTGATGAAGGCCCTGTAAACTGAATCGAACGATAGAGGCGTCGTCCCACGTGGTCTTTGAAGCTCATCGGATCAGCTTTTGAATGCATGCGAAACTGGTGCGTCATCCGGTGGCGATATCTCTCTGCTCACTGCTCAGAATTCAGTAACTCCAACTGTTATGGAATCTTGACTTGATTATCTCCAACGTTAATGACGACCCCGTTAACTGATTCGGACCAGAAACTTCCCCCGATTTGCAATTTGTGATGCGCGCAGGTGAAAACATGTTTTAGCCGAGAAATGCTTCCAGCAGTAAAGAAAATATCCGAGAAACAAGTGCCACGGTAAGCTTTTTAGCCAATATAAATTTTTCTGTCTCGGCATAAACTTCACCCGATAGCTTTTTCACCTGATACCGGTTTTGGCCGAGAGAAATTCACCTGACAGCATTTTTAGCCGATAAACTGATCCGGCCAGTACATGCTTTTGCTAAAAACACCTTTAAGCCGTTTTCACCATTTTTTATCCCTTTCTTCACTATTTCAACTCCTGATTCCAACTCATCTGCCCCAAATAGCCTCCAAAACACCTGATAAAGACTCCAAACCATGCAAAGACACATTGGGACTTGATGCAACCCCTAAGATATAAAACGACATTTAAGAACCTAAAATGCATGAATCAAGACATGATTTGAACTCTAAAATGATCTCTAAATGATGCAAAATATACAATATCAGTAACTTGAAGGAACAGGTGCAAGAAGGAGTTTAGAAGCCACGACCTTGTGTTTTTAGGCAGGATTTCTTATGGCCTTGGTAAGACCCCTCGGCATAACCAAGCCGAGGTGTGGTTTTATCGTGTGAAAAGTTCAAAACCTCGGCCAATGTCCTCGCCATGAACACACCAAGGCCGTGTGAAGGGAACAAGAAATGGTTCCAGGGATTAAGTGTTGGAGAAACTCCCGGTGTAGACCCCTCGGTATAAACATACCGAGGCTGATTTCCGAAAAAGGGGCCAAACCTCGTTCAAACTCCGCGGCCTAGTTACACCGAGGTCTCAAGTTGTAGATGTCAGAGACCAAGTGTGGGGGACGCCCCTCGGTGTAGACCCCTCGGTGTAAACACATCGAGGCCAAATGTCTGAAGGAAAAGTTCAAAACCTCGTTCTGAGTCCACGACATGTCTACACCGAGGCCGTGATGCTTATTGTCCCAAGAACAAATTTTCTTACCCAGAAAAAGGTACCCTTCGGTGTGATGCCCTCGTGGTGGAGCATACCGAGGTGCTTGTGGAGATGCATGAACAAAATGAGACACTTTGGATACTTGGGTCAATGAAGAAGGTTTGAGGGTCAAAATGATGATTTTCTGTGTTAGCACGAGTTGTAAGCCCTCGGTCTGGTGCCCTCGGGGTGGAACATACCAGAAAAATGAGAAAAAGCCGTACGGCCCTCGCATTATTCATACCGCGGTCATTCAGCACTTGGCGCGGGAAAATGAGTTTTGAAAGCTCGGGTCAACGTATTTGGGTCAAGGTCAAGGCTGAGAGTCTTTGGGAGAGCTGACCAGTCACACATGAGCCCAAAAGACAGCTGTAAAGGATTCCAGCCCCATACCAAACTCTATACTCAGCCAAAAACCCGAGTTTGCTTTCTTTTCCCTTTTCTGCATTTAGAAAAAGCATAACTCTCTCATCTCTCACTCAGTTTAAGCGATTCCAAGTGCATTGAGTTCGTATTGAAGTTGTCTATCCTGAATTCTCGTCTCGCTTAGCTCGAAATCTGTGTATCCCAAGGTATTTCATCTGAAAGAACTCATATTTTTCCATGTTCATTTACGGCAATGTTGATTTTGCTCTGTGTGGAATCGATTCTTTTAGGTTGTTAGATTCCTTGGGAACAATTTTAGAAATTCTAACAGGATAGACAACACATGAAAAACCGGTTCTTGCATTGAAAATCGCCTGTTCTTGAGTTTTTAAAATTCTTGAGAAATTGCACCTTAAAACCGGCTTTAATGGCGAGATGGTTCCTTGGCTGACACTGTGTTTAACATTGTTAAAAATCATTTCTTGATCACTTTTAGCTTGAGAAATCATTGAGCCATTGGTTTTTGAAAGAACTCTGTTCTTGATTTTTCTCTTGAACATGACTTTGGTGATTTGTACTTGGTGCTCATTCTCTGTTTGAGAGTTGTCTTGCAGATGACAGAAAGAACGGCTGCCCTAGCTCAGAAAAAAAGAGATTCAGAAGAAGCAGAAAAAGGGTAAATCTGTGGCTTCAGAAAAATCAGAGGGAACAAGCAAGAACACCTCAAAGGGCACCAAGAGAACCGATGAGGAGCCGGCTATGAAAAGAGCAAGGAACAGTGAACTTGCTCTTGTGGTGGTGCTGATCCGAAAAAGAAGGGAAAAAAATAGCTGTGGCACCTGGAGAGGAGAGAAAAGAAACCACAGCTGAGAGAGAAACTCCACTTGAACCAGTTCCCAGCAGTGCTCAAGAGGCAAAGAAGGTGGACAAGAAAGCTGAGAAGGAAGAAGATCGCTTTCCCACTGCTGGAGAATACTTGCATCAGTTTAACAAGGCACAGGTGACACAAGGGAGGTTTTCTGATGTAGAACGTTTGGGCAAGCTGGAGCTCCTTGATGATGTTAAGCTCATTTTTCAAAATATGGGTTTAACATCATTCTTTGAGATGAGAGATGTGGCCTATGAGGGAATCACTCAGCAGTTCCTTGCTTCTTTGGAGGTGTACATCTATGCTAAGAGAGATCCAAAAAGACTCCACGGGAATGGTTTTGGTCACATTGAGTTTGAGATCAATGAAGTTGAATATGAAGTGAGCTTTAGGGAGATTGATGAGATCTTTGGTTTCATTAGAAGTGGAAGCCCTACTAAACTTTGTGTACCCTAAAGAAGAGATTGCAGCTCTGTGGGATACAATTGCATATGGATCTTATGTTGGAGGAAAGAGCAAGACCAGTTGTATAAGGAACCCAGCCATCAGATACGCAAACAGGGCATTGGCTTGTATGTTCTTCACCACCTACAACCCTGGAGTGATGCAATTGAACGAGATGGAACTCTTGGGGCTTGGTTTGAAACCGTTCATCACTCACACCAGGAACAAGAAAGAGTTCGATGGTCCTTACCATGTCCCTTCTTTAGGCGCCTTCTTTGCTATTCAGATGCTTGTTTACAAGCACAATGTGTGGCGTGACAGAAGAAAGAGAGGGATCAGAAGGCTGCAGA